CGACGAATCAAATCAAACCAATATTACCAAATAATGCTACACCATTAGGATCACATTTTAACAAGTAGGCGGCTGTCTCTAAGCAACGACAAAAGTAAACACTTCATTGTTTTAGTCACAAATGTCCCAACTTAATTTAATTTTCATTTTTTAACAATCTTCATTGCGTTATGAATTATTCAATTCAAGAGCGTGTGTTTTCCGTGGAAGTCTACATTAGAACTGGTTCAGTGGAAGAAGTTCGGCGTGCATTTCGACGGCAGTTTGGAAATAATAATAGGGGCGATGCANGATAGATAGATAGATAGATAGATAGATAGATAGATAGATAGATAGATAGATAGATAGATAGATAGATAGATAGATAGATAGATAGATAGATAGATAGATAGATAGATAGATAGATAGATGCATAATATACAGGGTGTCCCGTTCATGTTTCAAAAAAACTTGTGCGCAAGTTGCTCATGAGAAAATAATGGGGGTAGTTCATTTAACATTTTTTTCTTAGACGCCCTGTTTTCGATATACAGTGTGTTGTTGCTTTCCAAATGGTTTTCCTTAATTATATTTAAATCGGCTAAATATAAAAATGTCAACATTTGTACCCGAGTAAACATCAACTGTGCATTAAGAATAATGTGCAAACGGTTTCTTTCTGAATAGCAGTGTCGTCGATACAGGTAATTGAAGGGGTACAATCGAAGAAAAAATAATTTAAAAGTCAAAATTTATTACATTTCCAAACGGTTCTGTAAACTCTGAAGGATACTACAAAAAAAAGGTATACTTGTCGAAATTCCGTAGCATGTACCATTTTCGAGAAAAATGAAGTGGAATTTTTTTGCTCACATAAAGCGNATGGATGGATGGATGGATGGATGGATGGATGGATGGATGGATGGATGGATAGATGCATAATATACAGGGTGTCCCGTTCATGTTTCAAAAAAAACTTGTGCGCAAGTTGCTCATCAGAAAATAATGGGGGTAGTTCATTTAACATTTTTTTCTTAGACGCCCTGTTTTCGATATACAGTGTGTTGTTACTTTCTAAATGGTTTTCCTTAATTATATTTAAATCGGCTAAATATAAAAATGTCAAAATTTGTACCCGAGTAAACATCAACTGTGCATTAAGAATAATGTGCAAACGGTTTCTTTCTGAAAAGCAGTGTCGTCGATACAGGTAATTGAAGGGGTACAATCGAGGAAAAAATAAGTTAAAAGTCAAAATTTATTACATTTCCAAACGGTTCTGTAAACTCTGAAGGATACTACAAAAAAAGGTATACTTGTCGAAATTCCGTAGCATGTACCATTTTCGAGAAAAATGAAGTGGAATTTTTTTGCTCACATAAAGCGGCACAAGTACATTAACAAAATATCAAATTGAAAGAGGACCTCACCATTGAGTGAGCTGAAGACATTTAGCTACCAACAGTATTTGCATTTAAGACTATAATTTTAATTTCTTACGTATCACATGAAATTGTAAAACATTTTATTAACTAAAAACTAACATATAAAAAAATAAATCAAAATAATGGTAATGGTAATTAATTATGACAGCCACACAAAAAAAGAAGTTTTCTGTACTTTTCATGCGACATATGTTATCTGTAGTATTTTTGCCTCCTGATCACAAATCCGGTGTCAGAATTGAGCTATCACATCACAGGTATTTCCTAACCTCAAAAAATAAGTAAAAAATAGCAAAAATTCATGAAAAAGTGGATAGGAAAAAAACAAAAATTTTTTTTTTCTAAATTCAAATATTCATTTATTTTAAGACCCTGCCGAACGTGAATTAACGGGCAGAATGATGGTTATTTTTGTAACATCAAAAAAAAGGGTCAATAAGGTCAGATATCACGAATTTTCAAAAAATAACAAATTCGAGCCAAATTTGTTATACGGGGGATTTCGGGGTTGTTGATCATAGATCCGAGGTCAATTTTGCAAAATTCAAGATGGCGGCCAACCATATTTTCAAAAAACAACACATTAGCGCCAAATTTAGTATATGGGGGTTTTCGAGGTCACTGATCACGAATCCGAGATCAGATGTACAAAACTCAACCCGTGAATACATCTTTTACAGAAAAAAGAACAAGATATAGCCGAAACAAAGTAGGTTAACACATCATTCGGTACTAAGGTTATAAAGTAAAATATTATAAAATGAATTTCGCAATTCTGACCTCCAATACGTAATCAGCGACCCCAAAAACATCCGTATACCAAATTTTCTGCTATTCTGTTATTATTTGAAAATTTGGTCGGCCATTTTGGATCCGCCATCTTGAATTTTGCAAAATTGACCTCATATCTGTAGTCAGCGACCCTGAAAACCCCCGTATACCAAATTTGCTGCAATTTTGTTATTTTTTAAAATTTAGTCGGCCATCTTGGATCCGCCATTTTGAATTTTGCAAAATTGACCTCGGATCCGTGATAAGCGACCCAGAAAACCCCCGTATACTAAATTTGGCGCAAATCTGTTATTGTTTGAAAATTGACTCGTTTTTTTGAGGTTGGAAAAAGAACCATTAATTCTGACCGCGGATTCACGTTGGGCGGGGTCTTAACTATATAAATGAACATTTGAATATAGAAAAAACAAAAAATTTCCTAGCACTTTTTCATGAATTTTTGCAATTTTTTACCTGTTTTTGAGGTTAGGAAATCCTATGATGTGATAGCTCAATTCTGACACCGGATTCGTGATCAGGAGGCAAAAATACTACAGATAACATATAGCGCATGAAAAGTACAGACAACTTTTCCTTTTTTGTGTGGCTGGAAAACCATTTGGAAAGTAACAACTTCAACACACTGATCTCGAAAACAGGGCGTCTAAGAAAAAAAAATTACATGAACTACCCCTATTATTTTTCCATGAGGAGCTTGCACACAAGTTTTTTTGAACCCTGAATGGAACACGAACTCCCCAATACCATATTAGTCATATCAAAAGAAGTCTTATATAAAAGTAGTAGGTTATAATGATACTAATATGCTGCTTGCCCTAAGTAAAACCAACGTTGGCTTGAAAATATTAAATGGAGAAAAAAATGAGTTTTGCTTACAAAATATCTGCAAGGACATACAGGAAAAAATTTCTGATACCATATTCAAATGTATACTTCGTCGCCTCATCAATTATTGCTGACATAAAATATAGGGTGTTCAATTTAGTACTTTCAAGATGACCTCGGGTAACCTTGAAACTTAAGATCAAAGTCAAATTTAATATCATCAAAATATTGGTTTCTTGATACCTTATAACATTTATCTGAAACTTTTTTTTAAGAGAACTCCATCCTGCAAAGTTATCGGGAGTTTGGTACTTTCTAGGATACCCTGTATATGTCTACCATATTCAATTAATTTATCTTAAATATCTAAATATTCACAACCCGTGAAGTGTCATTTTCAACATAAACAGTTTCAATTAATGACTCCTCAATAGATTAAAATATTTTCGTTGACGTTTCTTTGCGTTTAAGAGTACATTCAAATGACTAGGCGCTATTGGCTGTTGGCCCTGCGTTAACTACATAACATACATAACATGACATAACTGTCAATGCAAATGTAATATTGTTCCGAGAAATTTCAATTTCAGTCTTTATTTTATGTTTATGTATTTCGTACAGAATTTCACGAAACGACCGCATTGAGGAAGAGTCATCACCTTGACCACTTACATGAATTTGTTGTGACTTATTTTCTAAAATAAAAATTCTTGACAATCACAATAAAACGAAACGTTTCTTTTTTTACGTGCTGCACATTACAAATTCCAAGCAGTTAATGTAGTTTCGTGAGATAAACAATCGCTGCATTATGTAGTTATATGGAGTATTATTATACCAGCACCAGCATCACGTTAGAACTCAGCTTACGAGTACGCTATTCATTAAATATAGATGCGAGGCAACATCTGCCCGTTGCCTTACATGCATAATGTAATAACCAAGTAACGGAGAGAAGAATTTGTCTATTACAGGGACAACTTATTATTTACTGACAAATAAAAATATATTCTATGGCGGATTCGAGTTTCCTCTAATACGTAGGTTGTATACTAAACATGTGTCTTGCAGGTGTAAATATTCTATTCTTTGGAACAGAAACAGATATGTAGTTCTTTACATACCACTTACAATTTCTTGCTGTTTATTTCATTTAGCAGGTATATCAACACTGAGAACAAAATTTTAATTAAACATCTCTAGCAAATACGTACGTGACTAAAGTATGGAATAAATTTAGTAAAAACGAAACAAATTTTTTTTTGGGAAAAATCCTCGAACAGGTCGATTTTTAATTTAAAAAATACATATTTTAGCATAAAAGGCGATTTTCAACCGTCATTTGTCTTCGAGTCATGACGTCATCGACATTTTTTTAAAATAGTAACCCCCTATTTTTTTTCTTGATTCTGAAAAATCGTTTCATTGTCGATCCGAAAGTAATAAAATGTTGCCATCTTCCATAGGAAAGTTTTCGAGTAACTGACGATTGAATGTTAGAAAACGTAAATTTTATTCATTAAAAAAATAANAACTTAGAATTCAAAATTGCATTGAAGTCGAAGGAGGGCATTTGGAAGACATGATCTTTAAAAATTGACTTATAATTTATTTTCGTTATAAATCCCATATAATTAGCTACATATTAGTCCATTAAAAAGTTAATTTACTTTGATCAGAAAGTTTTTATTCGACTTTTAAACTGCATAGTCTAATATGGGGAACCCTATACAAACAATTGCACAGAACACGCTGTACATAAACAGACCCATTATTTTAAACATTTACGTTTGAAGTGCTTAAATATGTTTAAAATACCTAGAATATGTTCAGTGTATTCTTCACTGTCTTTTTTTTCTAAAACCGGCCTTCTAGGGCAAGAGAGAAGAGCAAGAGGTTGCACACTTATGTTATCAGAATTAACATGAACAATCTTTTATTAGATGCACATGTAGCGATATGGCAACGAACCACTTGTTACACTGCTACATGCATCACGATACAGCGTTACATACGAGCATTATAGTCGCGTTAATAAAAATGAAACCCAGACAACAGCTGCTGGCTGTTGGCGTGCAGCAACTACCACAGGTGAAAGCCTGTTCAGCCGTTCGCACCACCCTAGGCAGCCTCTCGGTTATTGTCCTATTGGGAAGGCACCCTCATAATCGCCTCTCCTATTCACTTCCTTTATTAAATTCATATAGTAAGCGTTTCATGAAGGTGCTAGAAAATTATACAGCTATTTACTGGGAAAAGTATTTGTAAGAAATTATTTAAAATGTTCGAAAAATAAATTGTTAATTACCAGCTTAGTTTACAGTTGCAGAGTTTTTTCCTTTGAAAGGAGTAATATATTTCCCGAAATGTGGAACTGTAGTAATCATAAAAAGAGTTTAGATTAATTTTTTTTCAACAACTTTTATAAAAATATAAAAAATAAATATTTATAGAGTCACCTTGAAATAAGTAGGAGAGAATAAAAACACTATTAAATAAATAATGCTTTACTGGAAAAATACAAAAAACTGTATTCCGAAATTTGTCTAATAGCAAAGCACAGAATAACGAACGTATCGCAAATTGTTTGGCTTAACTTTGTCTTTCACACTGCAAAATATTTTGGTTCTATTACCATTTGAAAATAATTTCAAAATTTAATATAATATTTAATGAACTTTCTTAATAGTTTGAAAAGTAATTATACCTCTTTAACAATAAATTCAAATACGGATATAGTATATTGTATAATAATAAAATAATAATAAAATATAAGGGATTAAAAAATACATTTTTAATTGAAAGAAAAGACAAATGCCTACTTTATTATAAATATTATTGAAATTATATCAGATGCTGATGCACAGAAAATGGCCTATTAGGTGAAACTAAGAGGAAGAAGGTTACATTGTAATTTTCGTAGCAGTTTCCATGCTTCACAGTGTACAACAGTCGATTTGCTTTTTAAAATAATGATGAATACCGAGCAAATCCTAAATTAGAAAGGAAAATATGTATTCTAAGCGTCCGTCGTCGCATTTATTTCCCCGCCTCATTTGAGAAGTGTTCCAACTCCGCTCCACATGAAATAAATCTGAGTTCAGACAAACTCGGCTCTCCCAAATAAATTCCGTTCCAATTTGTGAGCACTGCCTAAACACCTGATTTACGTAGTGGCAGATCCAGCCCTCTCGGCTTTTCAATATTTGTAAGCACACTTTCAAACAGGGGACCAGATGTTTAAATGAGCTGAGTTAACGCTCTTCGTTTAGTCTCCTATCGGGTTTCGACGGTGATTTTATTAAGATGCCGAGTTAATGTAGCTGCGTAAACTGTGAAGTACAAAGATACGAGTATATTCATTTTGTCGAATGAAATAAAAAGACATTTACTGAGCACTTTCTTCATTAAGCCGTAATTAAAAGAAACTTTATTTGAATCAATAAAATCAAATATTTATGCACAAAACATTTGTCTAACTAAATTCAGTTAAATATATCTTGTGCTGCTCTTTTTGTGTTTAATACGGTTTCATTTTCATACAAAACAACATAATTGAGGAGGTGCATGATACTATACGGGCTGTCTCGAAATTGCACTCAATTCAAATTTGACTTGAGGATGGAGTTCCTGAAAGTAATAAAAAAATTATCGTTGGAGTTGGGATGTATTTAATGTAAGTGATCATGTTAAAATTTCTGAAAAGGATTTATTTCGAAAATGGTCACAAGATGTTGACATTTTAACTGTTTCACAAGTGTTAAAAAGACACTAGTTAAAAATACTCTTTTATTGTAGAACAAAATAGTATATTTTTATATTAGGCTTAAAAGTTTTGCTTTTGTGGCGATCAAATTTTGTATTTATGAGGCGAAACGTAGTGTTTTATTATTAATTTATACTTTGTAAACACTTTTAATCTAAGGATTAAAAGTGTCAACTTTAGCTCCTAGAATTAAATGTGAATGCTTTTATTGTACGAGTAGACTAGGCGGTATCTGTTTTGGTTTGGGTGAATCCACGGAGATTTTTGGCTTTTTGGCTTTCAAATTTCACTAGAAATGAAAATTTTTCTATGCGCATAAAAAAAACGTGGGCTTAACTTTTGGCATGTCATATTTTTCTTCCTATTTAACTATGTATTTTTTCAAGAGCTGATTTTAGGCAGAAATGGAAGAGGAAAAAATGTTTGTAATTAAATTTTAAAAATATAACTAGTTACAAATCGAATGAATTATGATTATTATTGTAAAAATCGTAAAAATCGCCAAATATGGGGTTAAAAAACATTACTTTTTAGGGAATTTTTTTGGGGTTTTTAAGTTGGGTATAGGACCTTCATACTTGGCTCAAGAAAACTTCATGTTACATAGAATCATCACACCAAATTTTATCAAAATCGGTTCTATAGATTTTGCATAATAATTTTGCAATCCAGATTTTGAAAAAAAAATTGCAAATTTTTAAAATTTTGCACAGCAAAAACCAAGGCCCTTAGATACTTGAAAATTTAATCACATATGGAAGGGCTCTCAGGCTTTCAAACGCTTTTACAAAAATTCGATTCCATCAATTAGGAGAGCTCTGGCGCTTGTTTAAACATTGGTCGAATTTTACTTATAAACAATTAGAATAACTTTTTAAAGCAGGTTTTAAAAGCTATTGGAAAGACGCTCTTTAAAAAAAAACAGATCGATTGGTCACTTAGTTGCGTAGTTATAGCCGATCAAAGTTAACCGTTATTTACACTAAATGTACTGGGACATCCGGGCTTTTCGAAAAATACCTTTGGTATTCCGAGTACTTATCAGGTCTAAGTTTGCAATACTTTTCTTCATTGGCAACCTACTTTAAAACGCGTTTAAAGTTATTTATGCAAACGAGAAATTCAAGAAAATCGTACGGGTGGTGGAGGTGGAGGAAGCAGAGAGCGCGGTCACTTCGGCCTGCTCGAAATTGAATCGGCGAGTTCAAAACCGCGACGTACTTAAAAATTTTAAATATCTCAGCTTCTAGAGGTCCGATTTTGATAAATTTTTTTAAATCGATGTCTCGCGTTTTAAAAAAAACAATTAGCGTATTTTCAAATGCCTATCGTTAATTGGTGTTTCAACAGTCCGATAAACTTCCTTTAATTATCAACTTTATTTTTTTTTATTGTATCAAAGGTAAGTGCATACACTTATATACTGTTTACAAAGATCAAAAACAAATTTATTTAAATATTCTAAAATTCTTTAAACAACAATTATTTTCAAAATATGTCGAAAATTAGTAATTAATTAATTAATTAATTATTAATTTAATCANATGTATTTAATGTAAGTGATCATGTTAAAATTTCTGAAAAGGATTTATTTCGAAAATGGTCATAAGATGTTGACATTTTAACTGTTTCACAAGTGTTAAAAAGGCACTAGTTAAAAATACTTTTTTATTGTAGAACAAAATAGTATATTGTTATATTAGGATTAAAAGTTTTACTTTTGTGTCGAGCAAATTTTGTATTTATGAGGCGAAGCGTAGTATTTTATTATTAATTTGTACTTTGTAAACACTTAATCTAAGGATTAAAAGTGTCAACTTTAGCTCCTAGAATTAAATGTGAATGCTTTTATTGTACGAGTAGTCTAGGCGGTATCTGTTTTGGTTTGGGTGAATCGTATATTCACGGAGATTTTTGACTTTTTGGCTTTCAAATTTCACTAGAAATTAAAATTTTTCTATGCGCATAAAAAAAACGTGGGCTTAACTTTTGGCGGCACAATATGTTTAAAAATGTCATATTTTTCTTCCTATTTAACTATGTATTTTTTTCAAGAGCTGATTTTAGGCAAAAATGGAAGAGGAAAAAATGTTTGTAATTAAATTTTAAAAATATGACTAGTTACAAATCGAATGAATTATGATTATTATTGTAAAAAAACTTTTTAGGGAATTTTTTTGTGGTCTTTAAGTTGGGTATAGGACCTTCATACTTGGCTCAAGAAAACTTCATGTTATGTAGAATTATCACACCAAAATTCATCAAAATCGGTTCTATAGATTTTGCATAATAATTTTGCAATCCAGATTTTGAAACAGAATTTGCAAATTTTTAAAATTTTGCACAGCAAAAACCAAGGCCCTTAGATAGTTAAAAATTTAATCACATATGGAAGGGCTCTCAGGCTTTCAAACGCTTTTACAAAAATTCGAATCCATCAATTAGGAGAGCTCTGGCGCTTGTTTAAACATTGGTCGAATTTTTGTACTTATAAACAATTAGAATAACTTTTTAAAGCAGGTTTTAAAAGTTATTGGAAGACGCTTCTTTAAAAAAAAAACAGATCGATTGGTCACTTAGTTACGTAGTTACAATCGATCAAAGTTAACCGTTATTTACACTAAATGTACTGGGATATCCCGGCTTTTCGAAAAATACCTTTGGTATTCCGAGTACTTATCAGGTCTAATGCAATACATTTCTTCATTGGCAACCTACTTTAAAACACGTTTAAAGTTATTTATGCAAACGAGAAATTCAAAAAAATTGTACGGGTGGTGGTGGTGGAAGCAGAGAGCGCGGTCGCTTCGGTCTGCTCGAAATTGAATCGGCGAGTTCAAAACCGCGACGTACTTAAACATTTTTAATATCTCAGCTTCTAGAGGTCCGATTTTGATAATTTTTTTTAAATCGATGTCTCGCGATTTAAAAAAACAATTAGTGTATTTTCAAATGCCTATCGTTAATAATTATTGGTCTTTCAACAGTCCGATAATTATTTATCTTTAAACTGTCTTTAATTATCAACTTTATTTTTTTTATTGTATCAAAGGTAAGTGCGTGCATAAACTTATATACTGTTTATCAAAGATCAAAAACAAATTTATTTAAATATTCTAAAATTCTTTAAACAACAATTATTTTCAAAATATGTCGAAAATTAGTACTTAATTAATTAATTATTAATTTAATCATTATTTCTTTTGTGATAAAGTGTAATTCAAATATTATTTACTGTTTAACATATAAGCAAATGAGAAATTAACTCATTATATTACAAAAATACAAAATTCGACCAATGTTTAAACAAGCGCCAGAGCTCTCC